GCCTTGGTGGGGTGTTTTACCACCATGAGAAGAGAAACAACCAACATAATCATGTACCACAGAGGAGAAGAGAGCCCGAGGTAATCTCCCGGCAGCGTCTTCACAGAGTTTGTGGACCACTGAAAAGAGTCCACCAGAGGTCCAGAGGAGGAAGGGACAGAGTTGGTGACATTTTAGTTGAGTTAATTTTGTCAAGAGGGAATGCTCAGCAGTTATAAGCCACGGAAATTTCTGTAAGATGAGAACTTGCAAGTTTCTACCGGATATGACGACACAGGCTTTCAACCCTGTGATGGGGCAGTATGCAGATGACTGATGGACGAGGATGAGGCTTGAGGACATGTGACCCTCACAGTTCTGAACTTGCCAACTCCGTTAGCTGAAGAGTTAGAGGCTACTGGACACGATTCGAAGTTCTAGAGAATTCTTCAGTGGGCAGGCAACTAGCCCATCAACAACAAAGGGGGAAGATGAACTCAAATCGGGGTTTTGTGGTTTTAGAGAAACAACCAACTGGATACCCACCTGCCCTAGGTAATAGTGTCCCCTCCTGAAAGATCAGTCCCCTGGGTACTAAAGAACAAGGGGGAAATTTACTCAGAGAAACGGTAAGTTTACTAGAACTTGAAGATTTGCTCACATGCCCTCTCAAGTGATGCAGTGACGGAGGAACTGGGTAATCTCTTTGTGTCTCTTGCTTATGTCTATTGCTCCATTTAATTCTACAGCACATAGGAGACACACACACACACTATACATACGAGGAAACAGAGGGATTGGCTTGCCCAGGATCACACAGCTAAGTGAGCGGCAGAGCCGGAATTTGTACCTTCACATCCTCCGGGTCCAAACCCACTCTACTACAACAGGGTAATTAGAAGGAGCTCCTCAAGGCACAGGCGTGGCCACCTCTTCTAAGACTTGGGTAGAGAAGCCATTGGTGACAGCCACATTCCTTGTCTTGCTAGAAGGAGCCGCGCTGGGGAGGCCCAAAGATCAGGTTTGGCCTTCTCCTTTATCGGGGGTCTTCTTTAGCAGTTTTCTTTCTGGGTGGCCCAGGACTGGACATCTAGTATATGACCCTCCCAGTTGTCTGGACAGATGTGCTGTAAGATCACGATGTTGTTTACTTCTGTGCTGAGCCACTTTCTCAAATGACAGGAAGTGAGGACCAGTGCAAAGCAGGTAGGGAATGAATGGCATGTGCCTTTTAAAGCCATTGACCCAGATCAAGGAGCCATGGAGGTGTACTGAGTGACAGCCTTGTCGTGGAGTCCTGGGAACCATCCGTTTGTAGGTGAGGGAGGGGCCTCCTCCAAGGAGCTGAAAACTGCCAAGTTTAAGCTTCTGGTCATGTGACACTCCAAGGGTTGTTCCCAGCAGTCTCTGGGGAGTTGTTCCCCTCCTCCTATCCTGGAAAGATACACAGAACCAGATGGCAGACTCTACTGAGGTCGCAAGTAGGAGGGGCTTCCCTGGCTTTGGGAATCTGCCGTGTGCAGAGTGCAGGGAAACAGCTTTAACAACCACAGTCCAGACTCAAAGTCCAGCTCTGGAGTTTGAGTGCCCTGTGGTTTGGGAGGCATACTTGACTCAGCCAAGCCTTTGTCTCCTTGTTTACGGAGAAGGAGATAGCTTCCGTGTGTGCTCTGTGGAATGGCAGGCGCGCAGGAATAATGGAGGCAGGTGATCAGCGTGGCATCTGCTGAATTATTGTCCCTCTCCTCCTCATTGTCATTGCCAGGAGCTCTCCATGTGCATCTCCTCGTGTTCTCCCAATTGCATCAGAACAAGGGCGAGCAATTATGAGAAACAATGGCCCCTGGGAATCTAATCAAACCCCAGAGGCAACCAGATCTGCAGCCAAGCTGGAAGTGGCTCTTCTCCACAGAGCTGTCACCTGCCCTGCTCCCAACAGCTCGCAAAGTTCTCATTTGCATCCCAGAGAAATTCCATGGAAACTCAACAGCTAACAGAGATGCCAAAGGGTTTGATTGCTATGTGGAGATGTTTGGGATCTGAGAACCTGGGACAGTATTCCATATTTGCCCCTTCCTGCCACTGCATACCTCCCCAAAAATTCTGGACTAATTTGGGAAGTTACCACCCCCTTTCTGTAAGATTTTTAGCCTTTATAGATGTCCCAGGTTAAAGAAATGTATTTTCCATATCCTTTGCAGAATCTGATTTTTTAAATATTCTCTTACCTTACCCTTTCCTACCTGCCAATCAGCTTATAATTTGAAAAGTCTGACTGACCTACCTTGGAAAGAGCTGGCTAAGTGAAGAAAGGTGAACAGAAGTGGCCAATGCCCTACTACTCTGCCCCAGGTTTGGCTTCCAGAGTCATAGCCAGCTTCTTCTGGTGGACAGAGACACCTGGCTGTTGTCTCTAATTCCTGGCCCCACAGCCTCTCAGGGACACCAAGTGCTATCACATCTGAGCCAGCCATTTAAGAAATGGGTGTGTCGTCCAATTGTTTTCCTTCTGGCCAAAAGCAGACAATATGGCTGTGACAGTCACACGGTGGAAAGTCACAGGTCCTGGAAACCCCACGTGGAAGAAAGCCTCCAGCTACTGGAACACCCTCAAGGGACTGTTAATGGATGAGCCTTAGACTTTGATTCAGTTAAGCCGTGGAAAATAGAGGCACTATTAGAGTCCTGATACTAAGACGAGGAGTACAGTGGCCACCCCCCCACCACCACCACCTTCCTTATGCCTTCTCGGGCAGACAAAGCAAGAAAAGAGCCAGAGGAGGGATAGTCTGGGCACAAATAAGAGATACAAAGTAAATAGAAGTATCCCAGTCTGGGCACATATAGACTGGGAAAAAGCTGTCTGTGGCCAGACATGCGCATGTGTGGCAGTGGTGCAAGACAATCACTAGTGGAGTCGTAATTGTTAGGGCTAATGCAGTAAATGCTAAAAAAAAAAAAAAAAGAAGTGAGGGAGCAGCGTGGAGGGGTAAATATGACAGACGAGGCCAAAGGTCACCCACCCAGACCTTTTGTAAAGAAGGGGGTAATGACTGGGGCTTATGAACACATTTCTTAGTGAGGTAATAAAGGCGGAGGGAGAGGAAGAGGGGGAAGATTGACACTAGAGGGCTGGTTCTGTGACATGTCTACTTTAGGAATGTTCTTCTCTTTCAAACTCGCTTCAAACCTCCTCTCCCAGCCAGGCCTTTGCCGACCTCTGGAGACATGGCTGGCTCATATGTCCGCGTTCCAAGCGTGACATCCACACTTCCTCATCTCTTGCATCACACAGGGTAGAGGGTGCCAGGTTGCTCTGGGATCTCCTGGGCTTGGTGTGAGTACCTGGCATCACTGAGCTCTGATATCACTGGGGAAGGAATCAACGAACATTTGTGGGACTTGGTGGACAGAAGCCAAAGGTGAGAAACTCAGCAAGAATCATGTCTGCGATGCCTGGGCACTGGGGCAGAACGCAGGCCATCTTGATTCTCTACCTCCATCATCAATGAAACATGCAACAGCTTCTTCATGTCACACACTTTTATTACTGAAGCTCATCTCTGGGAACTTCTGCAGATGTGAAGACTGTCCCCCTTCCCAGCCTGGAAGACATTTCCGAATGTTCCAGCTCTGATGATGCTACCCAACCACTCTGGCTACCTCCAGCTTGTGTGTGCTGTCCCGAGCTGCTCTGATCTCCTTGAACTTGCCTCTGAGACTGAGTCTCACAAGGGGTCTGGTAAGGCCAAGGAAGGTGAGGGGAGTGGAGCTGAAGAGAAGTAGGCGACCAAGAGAAAAGGCCTCGAGGAAGACCAGGACAACTTAGGCCTCATAGAAGGGCTCCTCAGAGCTTCTGGGAACAGTTCTTGCTTTCTCCTCATGGCCATGTGAGTCAGTACAAAACTGAAAGATGAAGGAAGCCAGAAACAAACCGCATAGTCTCGGCTCAGTCCCTTGGGTGTAAACAATGCAAAGTGCCTAGACTTTGCCAGGGTTGCCAGGGGCCCTGGGAGGTTAAGCAGGGCAGCACACACGCCTTCAGTTCTTCGGACTAGCTGTAGTTCTTGGAGGCTAGAGCAGCATTTATCTTTTGGCAAAAATGACGATTTTCCTCCCTGAGTATCTCAAAGGGCCCTAGTCACCATACTTGTTCGTCCTGAGGATTTCATGAAGTCAGTAACATATCACAGGATGTTTCAGCAGTACAACTCCCACGAGACCCCTGGAGCTCATGAAATGATTTATGCCGAACTTCCCAAGGTCCCGAGGATTTTGAGACTCCTTAAAATTACATAGATTTCTATATTTTAAATATAAAAATAAAATAAAATCCATCCCAATAGCTTGTGACCAAAAGTACAGCAAGCCTGGGTCACAGTCATCACCCAGAGACGGAGAGCCACAGCAGAGGCCAGCTCTGGGACCCACAGCAGCACCCACGGACAGGCAACCACAGTGGAGCCCAGCTCTGCAATCATCACCCAGAGAAGAACGGGTACGGCAGAGTCCAGCTCTGGGGTCCACGGCAGTCCCAAGAGGCCGAGAGGGCCTGCAACTCACAACACCAATGGGTTTGGCTTTCCACCGAGGACAGATGGTCCAGGCACTGAGAAGGCAGACTCTGGCAAAACTTGCTGCTGTTCAAGCGCAGCAATGGACACTGGCTGTTGGGTGTCTGTGCAATCTGGGCCGGCCGCCAAATCAGCGTAAGAAGAGTGACATCTGCTGCTGTCATCTCCCAGGCCCTTCCTGGGCTCAGTTTTGGCTCCACCTCCACTTATAGACTCTTAGGAACACACCTGGTGCCCAAACTCTTAGCTCCAGATTTCCAGCCTGGGATTCTGGGAAGAGCCAAGTTTTCCTGTTTGCTGAAGAACTTACACACACACACACACACACACACACACACACACACAGAGAAGCACGCATGATACAAGCACACGTACACTACATATGAACTCTCACGGAGGCAGCATACAGAGGTGGAAGGTGAAATGTGCCTGGTGACCACTGGCCCAGGTCCAGCAAACAGCCAGTCCCTTTAGCCAGGATCTTCATAGCAGTCGGCGTTGTACGTGGAATTGGTTAAGATTTCTGGAAGCGTACCTCACTCTGAGGAAGAGACCAGGAAATCAGAGTAAGGGTGGGCATGAAACATAGAAGCCCAAAGACTAGAAAGTCCAGAGCCTACCATCCCCTAGGACTGAATGCCAGCAGGCACATTCTCTGGGAGAAAGGAGTTGCACTCTGAGGCCCATGGCAGGGGTTCTGGTACAGTCTCCCTCTGTATTCTGCATTGTCTTCCCCTGCCCAAAGAATGGGGGGGGGGGGGGGTTGGCCATAGACCCAGCTTTATGGTTATAGACAGGAGACTGGCAAGGAGGCAGGGCCAATAGATCCTTGTGTCCTGATGGTCACCTCCCTGCCATGGAAGGTAGCCTCCTGGCGCCCTCTAATGGCCAATTTGTATACCTTTGGTTCTCGCTGCGGGAAGAGAACAATATTGGTGCTGGAGCCAAGCCTAGATTCACCCTTTTAATAACCCTCTGGGCACTGTTCCAAGGGAAAGGAAGGAAGGAAAACAGACATACTGGTCGTGTCCCAAGCCTGACATCTAACCCAGACATCTTGGTCTGGTCCCAAGCCTGACATCTAACCCCGACTTGGACATTCCCAAAGGCCCAGGGCTCAGGTGGCCCCTCTCTAAACACACCCCACCCTCCTCCAGGCTCATCCCTGTGCTGAGCTCACCTCCATCTTGCTATAAATCCAGGGGAGTACTTCTGTCACTTTGGTGTACACACCAGGCTTGTTCCTCTGGCCACAGCCTGTGCCCCAACTGGTGACACCTGCCAGGTACCAGCGGTTGTTCTGCTCACAGACAAGAGGTCCTCCGCTATCTCCCTGCGAGGAAGAGCCAGAGAGTGAGTCAGCCTGGTGCAGAACGGGGGTCAAAACCAGGAAAGGATGGATCTCCGATCCCCATGTCATCCTAGTACTCCTTCCGTCTCCCATCTTCAGGGTCCTGAGACCTGAGCCCCACCCACAAGGACCTCACCTGGCAGGAGTCCCTCCCTCCTTGAAGGTCCCCAGCACACATCATCCTCGGGGTAAGGTAACTGTCATAGACTGAGTAGCCATTGCACTTCTTGAAGTCGATGAGGTTGACCTGAACCTCTCGAAGATAGATAGATGTCTTCTCTTCAGTGAGGTGAACGTGGGGAGAGAGGATAAGAAACCAATGAGACCGTGAGAAACTTCACAGCCATCAGTTGCTCCCTCGGGACTCAGACTCTGAGTCTTCTGGGAGTAGAGAGCACCATGTCTGTGCCCAAACCCACCCCAAGGAGGCCATTAATGGTGGAACACACATTCTCACACCATACACAACTCACTGGCCATACTGAAACAGAGACTTGTTCCCATGCGAACTCACAAGCCTGTGGGCAACCTGACTGCGATGATTTGTACAGACTTGACAGGGCCTCATCACCTATGAAAGAAACCTCAGGGAATGTCTGGGAAGGATTTTCTTGACTAGTTAACTGAGGCAGGGAGTCCCTCCCTAAATCTGGGCAGCACCGTTTCATGGGCTGAATAAAAACAAGACAGAGAACTGAGTAGCAGTACCAATAAAAGTAATACTAGTAATATTACCTAATAGTAGCCTCTATGCTTCCTGACTACAGACACAGTGTGACCAGCTGCCATGACATCCCTGCCATAGGGATTGTATCCTGGAACTGTGAGCTAATAAACCCTTTCTTCCTTAAGCTATTCTGCCAGGTGTTTTGTGGCAGCCATGGGCAGGGTAATAAACACACTGAATTGGCACATTCGTTTACATTCAAAGTACCACCTCATATGCCATTTGTTTCCAGAAGCCTCGAGACTTTAGGGCAGGTCTTGATCTCCCACTTATATGTCTAGACTCATAGGACTGAAGAAATGATTTGCCCACCTCTTTTTAGCTAGTCAGTGAGGTTTCCGCTAGAGGGAGCAGGAAATAGTGACCTGACTGGCGAAGGTGGCCTGAATGTAAGGACCAGGCTGGATAGGCCACTGTGTCGTGGACAGTCATCTATAGCTGACCCCAGACAAAGTGCTCAGACTGAATGAGTCCAAGTAAAACTACTCCACCGTTCTCCCTTTGCTGCCCCAGCCAGGCCTAGCGGTGCAGGTCTGTAATCTCAGTACCCGGAGGTTAAGGCAGGAGGATCAGCTGAAGGTAAGCCTAGGCTGCAAAATGAGCGCAGCCTCAGCTTGGGTAGCCTACTGAGTACAAAGGCCTAGCCATGCCATTCAGTAATAGAGCACTTCTTTTTAACATGAGCAAGAGGCTCTGGATTCAAGACCCAGTACTTCAAATAAAAAGTCCTTATGTAAACCACAGACACGAAATCCTCTCTCCCAGTCAGTCCAGGGCTCATTGCTTCTCCTCCATCATAGTCGTAGACTCTGCCTTCCTGCTGGATGAGATTATTAGGTTTTCCAGCCACTGCTCATCAACAGCATCCAACCTAGCAGAAAGTACCACTTCCTGAACTCTCCCCAGCTTCCCACTCCTACAATAAGCTCTTTTAATAGTTTTTTTAAAAAAAATATTCATTTTATGTGTATGAACTTTCTTGTCTATGTCTGCTGTGGGATAATGCTACTGAACACTGTAAAAATTTATCACTAGCATTAGCTTAATAAAATACTTATTGGCCCGTAGCCAGTTAGGAAGTATAGATGGGGCAACCAGATTAAAAGAATCCTGGGGAGAAGAAAGGCAGAGAGTCAGTCACCAGCCAAGTGCAGAGGAAGCAAGATAAGAATGCCGCACTGAAAAAAGTCACCAGGCCGCGTGGCTAAACATAGACAAGGATTATGAGTTAATTTAAGTTGTAAGAACTAGCTAATAATAAACCTGAACTAGTAAGTTAAACAGTTTATAATGAATATAAGCCTCTGTGTGTTTCTTTGAGACTGAATGACGGGGGACTGGGTGGGACAGAAACTTCTGTCTACATATGTCTATGTTACCTGGTCCCCCTGGAGGCCAGAAGAGAGCCTTGGGTCCCTGGAACTGGAGTTACAGGCTATTGTGAGCCACTATATGGGTGCTGAGAATGAAGCCCAGGTCCTCTGAAAGCGTAGGAAGAACTCTTAACAACTGAGCCGTCTCTCCAGTTCTTCTAACAGCCTCTTACTGAAAAGTGTGTTTCCCCTTACTGTCGTGAACAGTAAACCCACGTTGTTCAGCTAGGGGACTTCCTAGCAGTCTTGCCTAGAAGGTGTTCTCACACAGACTGTGACGATAGAATCACAGGTGTCTATGTTCTATATTAACCATGAGTCTGTACATTCAAACTCTCATCTGAATAGGCCTTCATCAGCATACACATGGCCTACAACAGGCCATTCACACAATGTACAAACATGCACACACACAGCCTTGCATCTCTTCCTCTCACCATCTGTCTCCTTGGTTTTGCCGAAGCCAGTGATCCAGCAGGTCTCATTGAGGCCGAAGGTTTGTCCATGCATAGGGAGGCAGGCAGGGTGGATGTGAGCTGTAACAAGACATTTAGGTGTCAGTAAAAGAGCAAGGCTGGGGGTTTGGGTAGAGGTCGGGGTGAGGCGGAGCAAATGATTTGTAGGAGTGTGTGATCCTTGCTCTCTCAGTAGCTTTGAATCCTCTAAGGTTTTGGACTGACCAGACCTGAAAGTCATTTCAACTGACCCTTGCAGCCCTCAGTGTGCTGCCAGCATCCATGAAGCCATTCTGGTTTCAGTGTCATTGTGTATACTCGACAGACAGCTTTGGTGTATAGCTTTGGGGGCTTGCTGAAGCCAGGCTGGCAAGGGGAGGGAAGTCTCTCCCCAGCAACAGCAGTTCTGAATACGGCTCTCCCAGGCCTTTCTCTTAAAGCGTGGAGAATGAAAGATACGCTTCTGATGTTAGGGCTATGCTGCATGCCACCTGACCCAGGCGGGCACCTGTTGGCTGGCCATCACTTGGGGCTCTCTGTCTGAACAGTCATCCGACATAGGGCAAGTAAACCTTCCACACAGAAAGAGTACACACCTGAAAGCCAAGACCACAAACCCCTGATAACCAGCTCCCATGCTGGGCACCATCTACCAAGTGTTACTGCCCATCACTTCGCAAGCTCCCTCAGCGTGGGATCCCCTTAGGTGGTTTGTGATACTGACCACTCAGCTCCGAAGCATAGGAGGAAAATACTCGCTGGTAGAATCTTGCAGTATGCTCAGTCATCTGTTATGGTCACTACTGCATTCTGCACCCATTTCTAGGCCTGACCCAGGCTCAGGGATCCATGAACATTTGAGGAGGGAGGGAGAGGCGAATTTGGGTTGTGATTGTTGGTTTTAGATGCCAACTTGTAATATCTGGCATCCCTTGGGAAGGGACTCTCAGTTGAGGAGTTATCTAGATCAGGTTGGCCTGTGGGCATGCCTGTGGGGGATTATCTTGATGTTAATTGATGGAAGAAGATCCAGCCCGTTGTGATCAGCTCCAGTGCACAGGCTGAGCCCTGGACTGTCTAAGAGAGGAGAAAGCAGCAAGGATGCCTCTGTTCCCTCTCTCTGCTCTTGACTATGGATGTGGTGTGACTAAGCTGCAGGAGCTCCTGCCTTGACTTCCCTGAAAGGATGAACCATAACCTGGAATTGCAAGCCAAATAAAACCTAACACCCCCTACCCTCTGTACCTTTTGGTCAGGGCCCTTTATCACAGCAACATAAATGAGATTGGAACACATGCTAAATTCTTTCATGAACTGGGTCTTAAACATTAGTATCTATACATTTTGTCTACTAGACCAAACATTGGTATCTACACACACACACACACACACACACACACACACACACACAATGAAAATGAAAAGGTAATATTGACTATTACTTTAAAAAATCAAATCGTGATTCCCTCTTTATGCTCACTGTTGAAATGTGTCTTAACATGTAACATGGTTGTAAATGTTCTGTAAATGTTCTCTTGTTTGGGGGGGGGAGTTTAAATTATTGAGTTTTCACAGAAAATACTGTAATTCAGGAAAATCCTGCCCTGATTTGTAAACCAAAAATCCAATCATATGGTCTGATCATAGGGTTACATAAATCTGAACTGGGGTTCTTAGACTTCAGGTCTGCTTCATGCCCTAGGACGTGTCCATACCAGGAGGGAAACTGGGTTAAACACAGGTAGGTGTTTCAGCCAGGTGGTTTCAGAGTTGTACAAAGTTGAGAATCCCTGTCCAGGTTCATGTTTTGTCTGTGCGAGTTGCAGGGGAAAATGCTGCTTGAGCTCCCAGCTTAGGGCTCCATAGCTGAGCCTGGGTGGGTGTGATCCATAGCTCTAGGCTCCATAGCAGAGCCTGGGTGGGTGTGATCCATAGCTCTAGGCTCCATAGCAGAGCCTGGGTGGGTGTGGTCATAGCCCTAGGCTCCATAGATGAGCCTGGGTGGGTGTGGCCATAGAGACACAGTTCAGAGACAAGACTGCACATCAGAGTTCTGCCCAGAGCTCTTTCTCCTCACCCCATTCTGATGAACTAGCTGCCCTGATGGGTGGCAGACACTGTTTCCTATGGATGTGCAAGGAAACACCAGTTCATAGACGCAAGGCGTCAGAATGCCTGGACTAATCAGAGCTCCCCAAGGAGAGTGCCTGCTTCACTTTCATGAGACTTTTCTTGGGCTTTTCTTACACCCCATTCTTCCGACTCTCTTCTAAGCTTCCTTAACCTGTCTTCACCAATCTCTTTAAAGACTTTAATTTTTAGTTACGTATGTATGCGTGTCTATGTACACAAGAGTTCAGGTGTCTATGGAGGCCAGCAGAGAGCATCAGGTCCCCTGGAGCTGGAGTTTATGAGCCGCTGGACACAGGGTGCTGGGGCCTTGGGTCCCCCCGGTAAAGCAGTATCTGCACTTAGCCACCGAGTCTTCCCTCCAGTCCCATCAGTTCGTTAAGAAGTCACCTTAGCTATCCTCTGCGCTGTCCCCAGCCTGCCACGCCTGACCGCCTTCTCATCTCCTTCTGATTCCCTCACGTGACACCGTGGGCCCTCTCTGGCGTGCACCTGTTCTAATTGCCATTGTCGGTGTGGCAGACATATAGGAAGGAGTGAGCACATGAGTGACCGAATGAAAGAAGGCTTCTTTGAACATCAGTGTCCCCAGTGATCTGAGAACGTCTGTAGCCTTTCTGTCATGTAGCTTTGCTCCCAAGTTGGAGCAGTGAGCCCCTCAAACCTGGGCTCATCTCATGTTCTCCACCAGAGTCAGGTAGCGAGGACCTTGACTTGGAGTCAGCTCCCTCTGGATAGCATCCAGGAGCTACTACTGCCTGTCACTCACACCCTCGGTTAACATCTCTCTCTAAAGCTCTTCTTCCCCATAGGTCAGAAGGAGCCCAGAGGCTCAGCTCTCCTGGGCTGGTGGGGAAGAGTTCACACAGTCATACATATCAAGTCTCTCCCAATGTGTTATGGCTGAGATGTAAAATGCCCTTACACAAGCTTCCTACATGATTGAGCACTGGATCCTGGCTGGTGGCTCTGCTTTGGGAGATCATGGAACCTTTAGAAGGTGGTCTTTGCCAGAGGAAGTAGACTGCAGGGATGGACCTAAAGATTCATGTCTCATCCCCACTTCCTGATCTCACTTGGAACAAGCAGATACACACTCCTGCTGCCTTGAAGCGACATGCTTTCTCCTGTGCCTCTCCTCCATGGACTGCATCCCTTCCAGCCATGAACCAAATAAATCCTTCTGACCTTAGAATGTTCCTCCTAGGTGTCCTGTCACAGCCATGCGATGAGTAGCTGATGCATACTGTCTGGCAGCTACTATGTGCATAGTTACTAGCAGTGTGTCAATTCAATCCATTCACATTTATTAAGGCCAGTATACAAACCCTATCCCTTTGGTTAATTTATAATGTGAGATGTGCCATTTGGGGCACACATATTTCTAAATCTTGGGCCTAAGTCTCCCCAATTCATATTTTCTTTCTTCCTTTCCCTATGTGTTGTTCATTTGTATATGTGAGTGCATGCACACACACAGGCACATGCAGACACGTGTAGATGCTGTTGCCCATACAAGTGTATGCAGTCAAGGATTAATGTCAAGATGTCTTTCCTCAATCATTTCCACACCTTGTGTTTTGAGACAAGTTATCTCATTGATCTAGAAGCTTTGGCTGGCATCAAGCCCCTGGGATCCTCTTGTCTCTGCTCCCCAGTGCTGGCATTGCAGGCACATGCCACCATGCCCAGCTTTTTGCTCTGGTTCTGGGGATCTGAACTCAAGTCCTCATTCTTGAGTGGTCAGCACTGTATGCACTGACTCATCTCCTCTAAACCCCCAGTTTTCTGACTTGTAAAACAATACTTCATGTAATCTCTAAGTTTCTTTGGCGTTTGCTACGATGACACCCTGGAGCCTTAAGCTGGGTGAACAGGGGCTGCAAGTCCAGGAGCTCGGAATCGGGGACCCATTCACTCACATGACAGGGTCAGAGGCTTGGAAAGCCTCATGAGGGCGATGTCATAGTCATCCTGCTTATCGGTGTAGTTGCCATTGATGATGATCTGGGAGATAGAGGCAGCTTCAGGCAGCTGGTGCAGGTTACTGGTGCCTGCATACACCTTCCAACCCTCCAGAACCATCTCCTGGGTCCTACAAGAGCCACAGAGTATGAGGGCTGCAGTTATACACCTGGCACAGTTCACTGGCAAGACCTGCTACACACGGGCAGTCAAAGCAGGAGCACTAGCTGGAGACAGGAGGATGGATAAAATGACCTCTGAAGGAGTCCTCTCTCTTGTGAAGCCTAATAAGGGCCTCTCACTCTCCTCAAAATTGTTCTGAACTGGCTGCCCTGAGCCTTAGAGTGGGGAAACCGAATGAATGAATGAATGAATGACTCCTCTGTGTGTCATGCATTCCCACTACCCCATCTGTATGCCACTAAGGATGGAACCCGGGGAGTGGGACAGATGTCACCAGCCACGGAGATTTAGACAGGACAAGGTAATGAAGATTCTTTACGCGGGGAGCCAGTTTCCACAAGATCTGTGCTATGGGTCCCCAAAGGCTGCTAGGGACCTTCAGAAGCCAGCTGTGCCACCCTCCAGCTGTCCCTGTCCCTCATGTCCTGAGACAGCATTCCCAGTCGTCACTCTTGTGCTGTTAGGTCTTCAGCTGTTATTGCAGGAGGTGGTAACAACAAGCCTGGGCTTCATTTCGTCTGCTCTCTGGGAAAGGGTCTGAAGCCCTTCTGGTCTGCCTTAGGGGCCTCATTTCTCATCCTTAGCTCAAGTTCAAAGCCAAACCCTGACTCACATTTGATCTTCGTGGCAGTAGTTGACCCTGAGGACTAGGCTTGTACTGAAGTCCTTCCTAGCGGCTCCAAGTCCCCAGGAGCATCTAATCAAGCCCCCCACCCCCAGGCACTTACGCAAAGAAGCAGTGGGCAGCGGTGAGCACCCACTGGGCATCGATGAGTGTGCCCCCACAGATGTGGGTCGTGCGAAAGTGCAGGCTGACTTGCCAAGGCCACTTGCTCTCTGAGGTCACTGCCCCTCCCACGATCCGCCCGGTCATAGCTCTCAGACCACAGTCTGGGGGTAATGGAGAGGACAAAACATGACATGTGCTTCTTTTAGAACCTCTGCTACTCTTCTTGGGCCCAGGGACAGGCTTGGGCAGTCCTGTCCTGAAGGCCACCCTTTGGTCATACAGTCTAGTGTGGCACACCTATTCCCTGTCCAAGCACAAGTACAAAGTGATCTTAACCTTCTGGGGTCATCTAGTTGGGACCATCTATCTTCTTCCCATTCATTTGTTCCTTCATTAACCTGCCAAATGTTTGCTTCATACCCAATGCTTTGGCACTGAATCTGGCTTGGTTACGAGGGTGAGTCCCAGGGGTCACCAAGGGCTCAAGAATCAAAAGATGCTACTATAACCCTGAGGCGGTGAGAATTAGTAGAGCAATCTCTCATTTCAGATGAGGAGAATGAATACATTTCTTATGACGCATATCTGGGTTTGCAAAGGGGGTGACTTGCGCAGGACAAGGAGGGGCAGCCTGATGGGTGTGCTCAGACATGGGGCTTGCAGAGGAGAGAGAGCAGCATGCTGTCTGAGCACAGTACTGGGCCAGCCTGCACCCTGGTTTCACCAAAAACATAGATCTTGTGGAGCTCGTCACCTGCCTGGGTTCTGATCTTAGGTGAGGGACATTGAGTAGTAGTGGCAGTGGTCCTGTAGGGCTCTCAACGTCAGTAACTACAGCTATATCTGTACAGACAGAGGCGCGGTACCCTCCATGGACAAGCACGAGTGTTGACACAAAGCTCCCAGCTAGCCCACACCCACTGTTCTCCCTCAGTTCTCAGCCCTTACCAAAAGTCCAGGGGACTCATATGACTCCCTTGGAATGACAGAGATGTCAGGGCTGGACTTCCCAAGGTCAGAAGGACCAGGAGGGAAATATTACTGAGGCACCGCAATTCTTAGACTCTCTGGCCCTGAAGCAGACTCACTGGCCTGGATCCCATGAGCAACCATCCTCCCTAGAAAGGTTCCATCCCTTTGCCCTAGAAAGCCCCCTCACTCCCATCCTCAAAGGCCACACTCCAAGAAGAAAAACAGCTTACGGGAACACTGGAGGGAGACATACCGCTGGGAGGGACACTCAGACCTGCAGCACGGGACACAAAAGGTGAGAAAGGGATCAATAGCTGCTTCCTTTTTCAGACTGGCGCCTGCTCAGATCCTGTCCCATTTCCAAGGAAGCTACCTTTAACAAAGGAGGTGGGGACTCAGACCCTCCATCCCCCCAGTGAGTGATTCTCCTTATAGTGCTTTCTCCAGGAATATGGATGCGAGAAAACTATCTGCATCATCATCCCCTTGCCCTCCCAGCTTTCCCATGGTGAGCCACACATATAGTCTAGTTCCATGTTCTTTGAGCCCCAGAGAGCCTCCACGGTCCCAAACTCTTTCTACAGCTAAGCAGACCCTAATGTTCCTCTTCTATAGCCTCCTGCTCCTCAATGTAGCACGCAGGGAGCCTAGCCCAAAGCAGGCACTGAGGGACCATTTCTCAACTGGAGGCTTGTTTCTTCTCTCACCCTCACATTAGGTAAGCAATCCATGGAAGAATTCCATCTTTAGGGGCAGGGGGGTGACTGGGATGAAGAAGAACTGCTGTGTACAAAGATGACAGGAGGGGCTGAAGCTTCACAGATGGACCTCCTGGGCCCAGGCCACTTGTGCCTGTCAGTCCCCTGCTCCTGTCCCCAGTGATGCATCTTTCCATTCTAACACCACCAGGTGGAGCCTTGTGGACTAGATCTCTGTGGCCCCATGGTTTCTTAGTCATCTTTTAGATCCGGTAAACTGAGATTAGGAGGCAGGGGCCTCTGACCTTGGAGTGATCTCAGCCCTAGATCTCAGATAAGATCTTTGAAGTCCTAGGTGTCCACAGCATTTTGCAATGAAGCCCGGGAGTCTGGGTTCCAGGAGAGCATGAGAGAGGGGCTCCCTGACACTACGCACGGCCCCACCTCAGCCCTCTGCACAGTCGGTTGTTACACTGCACCTGTACAGGCTCTCCTGGATGGTGGAGTTGTATTTGGACAGTAGAAAGCTGCTGGTGACGTCCCTGTGGGCCACTGCGGATGTTCTGTAAGCACTACAAAGAGGAGGGAGGGAGAATGAGTACCTGCAGTCAGCCGACCCTAAGCCCTCCAGCAGCATCAGAGCCCTACGGCCTGGCAGACAGAGGCAGGCCATAATGGCCCGTGTGGTGGCCACGCCTGCACAATGTTCAAAGCCTGGCTCTACCACATGCTCCGCCGCTCTCCGGCACCAGCCCTACAGCTAGCCCAATAGCTCTCCAGTATGGTGTAGGTCTGGCCACAGCACCAGCTCCTGGTTAGAAAGGCATGTTCTTGGCTCCACCTCAAACAGACCGAAACCGCTCTGAGGGGCACCCAGCCACCTATGTCTTAACAGCTCCAGGTAGTCTGGTGCATTCTTGACTGTGAGAACACCCAGCTAGCCCTTTAATCAGGACTGGCTGGTTTTTACATCAACTTGACACAACCTAGGGTCAACTAGGAAGGAAAAAAAAAACCCTTAATTGAGAAAATGCCTCCATAGGACTGGCCTGTAGGCAATTCTGTAGGGTATTTTCTTCCTTAATGACCTGGGAGGGCCCAGCTCACTAAGAGTGGTGCCATTCCTGGGCAGGTGTACTAAGTTGTGTAAAAAGACAAGCTGAGCAAGCTGAGCAAGCCGACAGCTCACTCACGGTCACCCGGAGAGTGATCTGGTATATTTGATAGTGACTCTCAGAACAGCTTGCCTCTGAATTATTGTGGGCATTTGCTAAGAAAGTTCTAAGTCCTTATTCTAGAGATTCAGATGTGAGGTCCATTTTCACAAGCACCCCGGTGATTGCAGTATGTTCTACTCTGCCTGGAACTTACATACATTTCTAGAACATTCTATATCATTCCGTGAACTGGACCTGAGAATATGCCATTCCTCCACCCAAGCACAGTTAAGAATCTTCTCCATTGTGTCCCAACAGAGCCCCCCACATACCCTTGGTGTGGGACTGCTGGGATAACCCTTTCCCACATCACACTAGAGAGTCTGATTTTGTTCTTTCATGCCTACGAGTCCCATAATCTCCTAGAAGCTCTGTGGATGCTTGTTGCATAGATGGCAATCAAAGAGAATTCTGAGGACTTTCCGCTTGTACAAGATCACACACGGACAAAGACAGCTAGGGCTTAAGCCTGGAATAGTCAGTCCCTCCTTTACACACCAGGACTCTGAGACTGAGGTAGTGGCAGAGAACACGCTCCGAGTCCTAGCTCCAACAGTATCTTTCTAGGTGTTTCTTCTAGGGGAGCTCACAACCTCACACTCACCCATTCAACCCTAAACCACTCAGCTGAAGAACTCGGAGAAAGGACTGAGGATGATCCCAGCTGGGAAAGTGCTTGTCACAAAAGCACAAAGGCCTACGTAAAGGCAGGTACTGTGAAGTTCACTGTGAAGTACAGACAGGCAGATCCCTGGGGCTCGATGGCCAGCCAGAATAGCTCGCCTCACAAGCTTCCGGCTGATAAAAGACCCTCTCTCAAAAAATAGGTGACTGACTCCTGAGAAACACCTGAGGCTGACCCTACACACATACATACTTATATACTTGTGCAACCACACACACACACACACACACACACACACACATACAACTCAGACCACGATGGTGAATCTTGGAGGTGCCTATCTGGCCTTCAGGTGAGAGGAGCCTTCAGGTAGGAAGGCTCCCAACACTGGTTCCTTGGTGTAAACGTTTAAAGCCGAAGCCTCACCAGACTGACCAAACGGCACCTGTCCTATCCTGCTTCTCATTTGGTGAGCCTCATAACTAAGCCACAACTGCTGCGGTTCAAAGCACACTGAAAGTTTTGCACGTCCAAGCTCTTAGTGCCCAGTGTAAGGAATGAGATCTGTACAAACACCCACCCTCCTCACAGAGCCGTCCCAGAACCACTCAGTCGGTGATGGCCCAGAAGGTGTTTTCACAAAAAGAGCCCTCGGGAGAACAATGCAATCACAGCTTCCCCAACACACAGTGGGGAAAAGGCGGTGTCCTGGGGTGTCCTGGCTTGGTGGGATCAGCAAGGGTCTTGCAGGGCCCCTTCCCTTCTCCCTACTTCCCTCCCCTCCTTACTCCCTCTCCTTTCCTCCTCTTCCCCCTCCTCTCTTCCTTCCTCTTCCTTTAGTTTTTGAGGCAGGTTCTCTCTGTCCAGGTCTTGCCGGACTCTCATTCCACGCTTACCTGTTAAAACCCAGCTGCTGGCAGGTCCTGTCAGAGTCGCTGTCACTCCAACTGCTGCTGCAGACAGGTAGCCACTCGCCAGAGGACCCAGAGTAGACCTTCAGCAGAGACCTGTCCCAGTCGAACCTGACTGCAGGACAGAGAAGGGCAGAGCAGGGTCTCAGCACCCAGGAAACACCAGGCTCTTGGGAACAAGTTGTGGGAGGCTCTGGGAGAGGTGTGGGAAGGCTGGGCTGGCCAAGCAGTGATGTCTGGAGGCCCAAGGCCTTCATAAGCACAGAGTTAAGGCCAAGGGCTGTGGCTGGGCAGCGGTTCATCCATCAGGACTCAGGAGGCCGTTGTTGGGAGACGGACAAGCATCTCACCCTTAGAAGGCAATGACATGCTCAAAAGAGAATATGACAAGGAAAACGGCATTGATGACCCGAGTGTGGGCTCGTGGGACAGCCTTACTCACCGATAGGTGCAGTCATGGGCAAGGGTGTGTGCATCAATAAATGGAGAAGAGAAAGGGTAGGACAGCCACACCCTCAGCAAGGGTGTGTGAGACCACGCAAGCACAACCACAGAGGGCTAGAGCCCACCAGGTCTTTGTGCTTGGCTAGGACTTGAAGAAACCAAAGGGGTCACAAGTCTGAACATAGAAATTGGGCTCAGAGCACCTTCGGCCTGTTCTCCAGTCAGATTTCCTGTTTTTCTCTGTCTGACAGAGTTTACGTCACTGTCACTAATGTCATCCCGCCCGTTCATTTTACAAGTTAGCATCAGAAGCTCTAAGACGCAGGTAATGCATTCATGCCATATAATGTTCAAAACCAAGTTCAAATCTTTGTCTGCTGCGACTCAAACCAAGATCTTCTAATTCTCTGCCCATTGCCTTTGCCCCAGCTACTGCATTTCATATTGTGTGCAGTCCCTAGAGTGTACAAACAGGCGCCTACACATGCACATACACACATGCACGCACACACACGCACACACGCACATACTTCCCCCTGCTCAGCCTTCTTACCACAACTCAGCTCGTCAGTTTTCATTTTGCAGTCCGCCACTCCATCACACACACACACACATACACACACGCACGCACGCACGCACGCACGCGCGCGCGCGCACACACACACACACACGCACACACACACGCACACACGCACATGCTTCCCCCTGCTCAGCCTTCTTACCACAACCCAGCTCGTCAGTTTTCATTTTGCAGTCTGCTACTCCATCACAGCGAACAGCATGGTTGGAACAACTCTCTATCGGTTCTTTGTGTTTGATCCCTGTGTGGCCTCGCCAGAAGTAGACTGGGAAAACAGAACAATCGACAAAGCAGACAGCTGGTCATTACCAGCAACTGAGGGGCAGCACGCTCAGCAGCCCGAGGCCCTGGGGATTCTCAGACACCGACCTGCAATCCCTCTTGAACTCTGGGGCTCTCGTCCCCCATCTGTATGGAGAGAAAGGCTGCTCAGGAGTGTTCTAGAAAGCTCCCACAATCAGAGCAGCCCCAGACAAATTTGAACAGCCAGCTACCCAGAGAAGGAAAGGAAGAGACCAAGAGAAATAACCAGAGATGGCCACGGATCGTACTTTGGAAGCTTCCTTACCCTATGTGTTAGAAAGGAAAGTAGTCAGAGGAACTTTCTCCTTCAGTATCCCAGAGTTCCCTATTGGAACCCCTCTGGCAACTCCTCTTCTCTGTGCTACATACACACAAACATACAGAGAGAAGGGGGAGGGAGGGGAGGGAGGAAGAGAGAGAGAGAGAGAGAGAGAGAGAGAGAGAGAGAACAGAGAGCACTGCTACCTGGCCTGTCTTCTTACCAGATAGCAATTTCTGAGTTTGCGTCCTCCTCCCTCACCCCTAAACATGTGTGTCTCTTGTATTTGGCCCTTGCTTCCCTGCCTCTCTTTATGCCTTTCTGTGTTTTCTTATTCCACAAGCAACATTTGGTTCCTTTCCAAATGTGCAAGGAAGCTTCTCACACCTTCTTGGGAACCAGTTCCAAGTCTTCCTCTGCCTCTAAGCCTGATCTATCACTCTACTGCCCAAGACAGCTCTCTATGCAGCTCCCCACTCCCCAGGCCTGTCTCTAATGTCAAATCCCAGCCTCTGCATTTCCTCAGCTCTGACCCCATGTTGTCTCCCCAGCTCCACCATGGTCGTGGTCACTCAGGAGAAGGCCCCCTGCTGAGGCAGTCTCTTCCCAGTGCAGACCCACAGCATCCTATTCCCTCAGGGCTGTATGCTCTCCTCTCAGCGGCTTTCTCTCCTCCTCCCACACCCCAGATGCTGAAGCTCTAAGGAGTCCTGGGCGTCCCTCTCAGGGCTTGGGAAACTGCACAGCCTAGGACCCCTGGGAAGTGTTTTGGATGGAGTGATGATGGGAGAAGAACCAGGAGGCCGGGCTTGACTATAGATAATACTACCTCTCTGGCTCCATGAAGGAGCGGTGGGGACTTGGGGAAATGCTGTAGAACCAGGTTAGAGTGTTAAGGCTACTCGGTGAGCTTGCCCTTGAGTGCCTCATGTCCCTCCATGGGTCATTCCCATTGTTCTCAGAAGCAATACACTCTACTGGCAAAGCGAGAAGGAGCAGATACAAGGTACCAGCTCCTTGCAGACATCATACGGCTCATGAGGAACATAGGCGGGATGCTGGAGCAGGAATGTGTGGTAGCAAAGCTATGCTCTAACAGCACGCTACCCTCTTCCCCTAACAGCCACGCCACCGGAAATATCCATGCACCCATCCCTCCCTCTGTGTACCATCTCATGCTGCCTCTTCCACAGAGTCCTCAGTCTATGGTTAAAGCTTTCCGGCCTCATGTAACTAAACAGATGGGCTCCAGGCTCCCAATGTGCATCTCCTCGTTGGGTGGATGCATTCCTCCCCTCCACCCAATGCAGACCTTGACCACCTGCCCCCCATACGCACACACATCTCTGACGTTCAAGAGAGGCACCTCTGCTCTCACACTTTCCAGGTCCTCACTAGGAATTGCATGCACCCTGCCCGGCGCCACTCTCTTGTTCCTGACAGTCGCATTGAGGTCACTTAGCCTGATTTACTTTTAGCTCTGTTCCCCAGGAGTGGATGACCCATCCTGGGACGGAATAGCATGAGATGTGCTCATCTTCGCTCCCGCCTAGGCTCCACCTTTTGGGCTGGCTTCTAATGGATTGCTGATCAAGGAGCTTAGGGCATGTTCTGAGTATCTTTTCCCAAAGGACAACATGAAGTGCCTGGATCCCAGACAGCACACCTTGACCCCTTGACCTTCGGAGGCTTTTCCGTTATTTTAATGGCATGTTGGTTTTCATAGACAGCTGTATGTTTTCATAGTGAGATTTTATGCCAAAAATTGTACACTTCCCTTATATAGTTCTCCTGGTCCAGGTAAAGTGGAATCTTACGAAGTGTGGGCTGAATTGAATGATTAATGATAAACTGGATCCCATTTAATGTTACTGAAACATAGCCCAATAGAGTTCGTGCAATTGCTCCAGTGAATCATCAGAATTCAGCTGCAATAATGGGCCCTAGCCCAGAATCCCATGGTACTCCACACTCTTAGCCCAGTCATCTCAAAGGACCCATAATCCAAGGTCCTTATGCGGATATGAGTCCCTCAGTCAGTCCCCATGGCTCCATAACCCCATTTCAGTCTGAGATGACCCAAACCCACCCTGCCCCCTCTGTTCAACTCACAGAGAAGGATGAGTGAGATCACCAGGCTGATGAGAAGGATGATACACCCGATGAGAGGCAGCTGTCTCTGGGTCTCCTGCCAGGAGAACTTGGGCGAGCTGGGACCTAAGAACAGGGTGGCAGGGAAGAAAAACTGCTGGGGAGGAGTCCAGCATGGTGGAAGACAGAGAAGGAAGCAAAATTGGCCCCTTCGGATCTTGCTAGGACCCTTGCGCCTTGCAATTTATCTCTACCCCTACCTACCCATCTCCATCTCTCTTATGCAGCCCCTCCCGTTGGCGAGGCACTGTGCGTGCGTCCTGCTATTTGATCTTCACGGCATCCCCTGAGCTGAGTCTTATTAGGTCCTTTTCTTTAGATGGGGAAACTGGCGCTCATTGAAATGCAATTAGTTACCCAAAGTCGCTAAGCTAGTGACGATTTGGTCAGAGGTTCCAATGCAGTGTCTCTTTTCAGAATCCATCCCACCAAAGTGCCTCTCCTACCCTGGACAGGGACAAGCGAGGATGGGCCCTAAACCTTGAGTGTTTCTTCACAGTCAAATAGCAGCCAGGCTTGAGTATATATATATGGGGGTAAGGCAACGAGGTCAGGCAGAGAGCAGTCTCCTGAGGGGAAGAGCCGAGGCTGGAGGCCCACTGGGCTCTTTGACCTTCCAGCAACTGAACTGCTGAACCTCCATCCCCCGTCACCGCCTCCCTGCCATATACAAACACACATACACATAGACACACACCACACAAGTTTAGAAGCTTGGAGAGTGTCAGAGTTCCTCTCTTTCTTCTTCCACATAGAAACAGACACTGATCATGACCTTACACTACTGCAGACCCTAGCTTGCCCGGCACACACGCAGATCAGCCCCTCCTCGAGCCAGGAGACCTTACTCTTGGGATCAGAGCTCTCCGATAGGCAGAGCAGTCTTCAGTGTTACAGCTTCCTAGCTCCTGGCTTTGGTATCCCCATCCTTTTGTCTAATTTTCCACTGTCTAAGGCTCTCATGTTATGGTCACTGTCTACCCTCACCTCTCCAGGTACCCTATGTCCCGCTCTGGCTTCCTTCCCCTGTCATTATCCCAGGGTCATGAGGAGCAGAGTGATTTCTGAGAGCATCCCTCTGCCCAAAGACACTGCCCTGGTTCTCTGCCCTCCCTGCGATGACCCCCTTACCTGGGCTCTCCCCGGTGGCCCTGATGGCTGCTGCTGACCTGGCAGGAGATGCCCGGATGGGGACAGCCCCCAATGGTGTTGCTCTAACAAGGTACACTCTCGTTGGGGAGGATGTCGTGGAGGCTGACCTGGCCGAAGATGACCTGGTAGGTGATACCCCAACTGGAGACGACCTTGCTGGAGAAGCCTGAGGAGAAGAAGCCCGGGATGGAGATGCCCAGACTGGAGATGTCCTTGCTGGAGAAGCCTGAGAAGATGTTCTTGCTGGAGAAGCCTGAGGAGATGTTCTTGCTGGAGAAGCCTGAGGAGGTGTCCTTGCTGGAGAAGCCTGAGGAGGTGTCCTTGCTGGAGAAGCCTGAGGAGGTGTCCTTGCTGGAGAAGCCTGAGGAGGTGTCCTTGCTGGAGAAGCCTGAGGAGGTGTCCTTGCTGGAGAAACATCCTGCAAATAGAATGAAGGACATTCCTGTGTCTGCTCCCAGCCAGTCCATTCCAGATATGGGCCCTACTGAATGGGAGGTGAACACTCTGGGGCAAGTGGCAGGGGACAGAGAAAGGCCTGTGCTTGAACATACTCAACACAAGTCCTGAGCAGAGCAGTCCAGAGTTCTCTTGAGAACATCTGACACAAGCTGGGATCATTGTCACTACTGAGTAGACACCGCAAATATAATTTTCAAGTCCTCTCCTCCAGGATTCAGAGGCGATTGGATTGGCCACATCTTCACTTTACTGGGGCCCGTGTGCTGTGTTCAAGGAAGATTTTGACCGCACTCAAGGCAGGACCCAGAGAGTCTCCCATAGAGAGCTGCTGGGGTCCATCCACGGACAGGGGTAGTTACACATGAGTGCCCTTATCCCAGCTGGCAGCACGGGGGATGTATCTGACTGTGTTTAGGGACATTCAGGCTCCTGCTTCTGCTGCCCCAGCTGTTCCAACACCAAGGTCACCCTCTTACTGCTGCTGTCTAGATAATAGATTTCCAAAATAAGCTGACTTTTTTGGCCCCTACAAGGAGGATGGGAACAAAAAAGGCAGAACTAGAGAAGACATACTTGTTTCTACGGGTGCCGAGAGGTGAACCCGGACACTGTGTATGGCAGACAAATGCTCCATTGCTGAGCTACACTCCTTGCCCAAACTGGGCTTTGGGTATACTAGGCAACTACTCTGCCCCTGAGAAACACCCTCGGCTGAGAATGCACTCGACGACAGAGTCAGGCAGCCCTGAAGCCCAATCCTGGGCCCGTCCTTGCAAAGCAGAAGGACTGGAACCAGCCTGAGTCACTTAAAGCTTTCTGTTCATCTTGGAAATAGTCTGGCACTAATCGGGGGAGTCCTCGCTGGGGTCCAGGATGCAGAAGTCACCCTTGTCTCTCCGTGCAGAGGGTCAAGAGAACCGAGATTCAGTGGCCATGGAGATTGGGTGAGTGAGGGGAGAAAAGAGTGTTGGGAAAAAGCCAGACTGTAGTCCTTTATTTAGAGGGACAGGCCTCAGTGATGTGATGTCCTGAGCGAACTTCCCAGCAGTGGTGGCCTGAACCTTGGCTCCTGGCAGGGGCCTGTGTGACAGCACCTCCACTGGTGCCCGTCCTTGCAAACCCGCTCCACTCTTCCCCACCACTGGGGAACTTCCTATGGTTAGATATAACAAAGCACACTTTAGAATCTACAACAAACTTTCACGTCTGTATCCTTGTGGTGTTCTCAACTCGTCCTGAGAGTTGCTTCATCTAGAAGATAATTTTCTAAAGTTGTATTACCAAAACCACAGAGTCAGGATCCCACCCGGGGCTCCTTACTTCCGTCTTCATGCATGAGAAACTGTTGGTGCTGTTTTCTGAACACTGACACTGGGCCCTCTGAGCATTTGAAGCCTGACCAAAGAATTGGTGTCTGGGGCCTTGTAAGGCAGGAGCTCCACTGGGGGCTGAGGCGGAGCCCAGGGATTTCTTGGTAGGATCTTGACCTTGTGGTACTTTTTGTTGTGAACTATGGTTGCCTCCCTGTCCCCATTCCCCCTGCCTGCCAGGCCTGATTGGAGTCTTGTGACCCAGGACTGCAGTCACTAGGGTTACACGACTATGCCAGAATTCATCCTCGTGATATGAACAAGCGACTTTCACGCCTTTCCACGCCAGCTTCCTTATCTGCTAGGTGGGGGTAATCACCTGGCTTCGTATCCCAATAGTCATAGATGTGACATGCAAAGCACTTGTCCATAGTAAGGGCTGGGATGACACTGGCTGTTGACAGTTGGGTCTGCCTAATGTTTGAGAATGCTTGGCTCGAGATTCATCTGCTTGAGCAGGGCTGCACCCATTCCCTGCTAGGAAAAGAGTCAGCCAGAGCTTGTTTGACTTGCATAAACAGGGTTAATCTCATCTCCTTCCCCATACAACCGGGAATCTATGTGAACAAGCCTGGGCTATACACGAGGGTCAAGCTATAATGAAGGTAACAGCCCATGAGCACCTTACTTGGTCCCAGGTCAAGCTCCTACTCGCTTTTTGTAGTTGGCAGTGTTGGCTCCACTTTACAGATATTGGAACTGAGGGCTGGTAATAGAGCTTGCTGCCAGTCCTGAAACCAGAGTTCAATTCCTGTCACTCACATGGCAGGAGAGAAATGATTGTTGCAAGTTATCTTCTGGCCTTCTTGTGAATGTACCACACACAACACACATGTAAAAAATTAATAATAAAAAGGTGATCAATTTTCAAATTTCTAGGTCGAGTAAGGAAGAGGGCTTGTGTTCTCAACAGACCAACTTGTAACCAACGATGTCACAAATGATCAGAGTAGTCTCCCTCGTGTCTCCTGGGCTCACCATCTGTAGAGTTTCACACATACTGTCCGGTCTGCTTTCCCAAGGGGCTGGTAAGCAAACTGGTCAGAATGGCCATCTCTGCTCTCCTTCTCTGGTTTTGTTTGTTTACACAGTTGCTTGTCTGTTTGTTGAGATGGGGGGTCTCATGTAGCTCAGGCTAGTCTTGAATTCCTGGTGTAGCCAGAGATGATCTTGAACTTCTGATCTACCTACAGGTATGTGCCATCATACCCAGTTTGGGCAAAGGTGAAGATCAAATCCAGGGCTTTGCACATCCTAGGTTTGCACTCTGCCTGCCTAGCCACAGCCACGGATCAGCCATCCACACTCTATCCAGGGGAGCTGGGACTCGGGAAATGGCCCCAGCTTCCCAGTTAAAGGAACGCCCATTATTCTGAGTCCCCAGACAAGGACCCTAGCTGTCTCCAACTGAGCTTGACCCTGTGATCTTGGCACCTCACCACAAAGGGCTTGAGGGGAGGGGGTTAAGAAGGTCCGGGGCAAGGAATACAGGTAAATTAGGGTAGAGGAGATTTGTGAAGTTGGAGTAAGGGAGAGTGAGAACGGAGAAAAAAACTGGTGATGGGACAGGAAGGTGAGACGTTGGTAGAAGCTAGAGGAGGTACTGCTGGAAAGCGGGTAGGGAGCTCTGGGTCAGAGGGCACTCAGCCCCAGCCTTGACAGACTCAGCCCTGTGTTATCAGGGCGGGGGTAAGGGGATTGGGTAGTGTAGGGCCTCTCAGACCTATGCGGGAGGACAGACCTAGAATCCCAAAATCTGGATGAGAATGACACTTGGAGAACGGTGAGCCCCAGGAGGGTGTCATGGAAGGACAGCCCTAGGACAAGAAGATGGGAGTCGCTGAACTTTGACCCAGACTTCACAGGTCATTAGGAAGCACCCTCATCTTCAGAGCCATGAGAAGAATTCCAGAGCCCACAGTCTCCCTCTGTACCTATTTCTTGTCCTGCCACTCCACCCTTCTGGAAGTGCTTCCTGATGTCTAACCTAATACAGCATTAACTCATTTCCTCCCCCTCCATCCTCGGAAAGCAACGGCAGAGATGTCACCCTCCCATATGGAGGCTTGACTTCGCCCTGACAACAGATGGGGCCCCAGGAAGGGAGGCTGCTTCTTGCCCAAGGTCCTTAGGTACTAAGGTAGAACCAGGGGACCAGAACTCAGGCCTCCCAATCCCAGCCTTTGCCAGTGAGCACAGCTTCCCGGAAAAGAACTTGTGATGGAGTCCTTGCAGGGCCCTGCCCTTTGCACAGCCTCCTACAGACCAGAGGCCGTTCAAGCTGCATGGGCAGGTGTTGATGACCGAGTTAGCACCTGGGTAACTCGGGACATTTCCTACCACTACCATTAATTCCTTCTGACCCCACCCCACGGTCTCAAAGGTCATCCTTTTTCATAACAATCAGGCGTCAAACATGCTGCACGCTGTCACCTCTGATGCTCCTGGCTGTGCCTGAGAAGCTCCGGAGAACCTGTTCACAGTTTGTTGGGCTGTCTAGAAGTCCTGGTGCGTCACTGGAGACCAAGAAGGCAGGAAGGGCATATACCATGAAGGAAGGCAGAAAGCTGGACGTGGCTGTGTGTGGCTGTGGGGACACGGAGACTCCGACCTTTAAAGCTCACCAGCCACAGACTAACAGAGTCAGTACACTTCCAGTTGAAGGAGAGACCTTGTCTCAAGGCAATAAGGAGGATGTCAATAAAGGAAGCCAGTAGTCACCCTGCTCTGACTGCCACACGCTCATACACCTGTGCACTCACATGCCCGCACACATGAGCACATGCATGTAGGTGAGCATGCATGTGTGTACACACACACACACACACTTACATATGTATATTTTTTCCAAAGTCCCATATAGCAGAACAGGAGCTAAAGCACCCCCTCAAAGCCCCCATTTCTAGTCCTGTCTCCCTTCTACCTCAGCTCCCAGGGATGGATTCCTCACCCCCAGGTGAATGGGGCATTCTTTTGTTCTCTTAGGTGGTGGGGCTAGTTAACAGCTGAGTGTGTCTTGATTGACCTCCCCTGAGTTTCCTGTAGGTTAATCAGATAGCTAGCGATTGCTGCAGGCTGAGCTCCCTGGCTCCTCAGCCCCACTCCCCCATGAGAAGAACCCCACACAGGCTTTTCTGCTGGACCCAGAAAATGTGCAGTGGCCTCTGCAGAGACAGACCATCAGCCTCGCCTCAGACAGGCCTGTGGGGGCTCCCTTCCAGGGCCTTCAAGGGATGGAAGGACCTTTGAAGCCCCACTAATTGCAGCTTTCTTTCTAAGATGGTGGCCAAGGTCCAGAGAGGCTCTGACGACCCCAAGAGGCCATGTGAAGGCAGTGGTAGGGCCATAGCACCTCGTCCCTTCCTTGGGTTGCTGCTATCTAATGCTGTACGCGCCATTGCCTTCTTCCTGCACCTCCAGTGAGCAGGCCCAGACTTGGGCTCTAGGGCACCCCTCTTTACCAGTGACCCTGAGTTTTAGGGACTGTCAAAGGAGGAGGTGCATGAGCTAGACCATGGTCAGAGCCCAGCACTCTGGAGTCCTAGTCCTTACTGGAAACTTATTTTTTTTTTTTTCTGTTGTTGTGTTTTCAATATAGCCCAGGCTGGCCTCGAACTCCCAATCCTCTGCCTTTCAAGAGCGGGAATGATAGGTACGCTTCCCCTGTTTAGTCCAGGAACTGCCTTTGATAAGGCCTAGAAGGTCCTGGCTACTGGAGTGAGGACCGTGGACCAGACTGGTCCAGCGCAAAGTCAGGCTTCACGGTGCCCCTTGGGACATGGCTCTCCTCCACACTCCTCCTCTAGAGAACCCCACAGACACAAGCCCCCTCAGAAGGCAGGATGTCCTCCATTGCCTCGTTCCAAACACAGGACCAGCTTTTCCAGGCATATGCATGCAATATGAGCTCAGGGACCCCGTCAACCTGACCAGCAAACCCTGTGTGAAGTACAAGAGCTTGCTTCAAGCCTAGGCAGCGGGTCCCTGCAGGCTCTTGGCTCCTTAATGCCTTAAATGAAGGGATTGACAGCTGTTTCCCAGAGACTTCCATAACATTAAGGTCTCATAGAGTTATCATGGAGCTCGGTCATGGGCCCTCATGGTAGGGCTTGAGCCCTTCCCCAAGCCAGACAGAAATTCACATTTTTTTCCTGCAGTGACCTCTACCCAGTATTTCATTTGAATAGAAGAGGCAACTGCTGCAAGAACGTGAAAATAACTGCCTTGGGCGAGCACCCAGGTCTTTCAGATTAGAATGCCGCTTGGCACATGAAAGAGACCGAAAGGAGGAACCATGAGATCATACCTCACTCTTCACTTGATGGATCATTCATTCGTTCATTCATTCACTCATTCATCCGTGCATTCATTCATTCATTCCATTCATTCATCCATCTGTTCATTTACCAATGACTTTAAAGAACATGGTGTGTGAACCCAGGGAGATGGCTCGGGGGTACAGTACTTGTCATGAAGGTGTGAAGTTCTGAGTTCAAATCCCCAGAACCCATGTAAAGTCGAACATGGCAGTGCACATCTGCAATCCCAGTGCTCCTGTGGTGAGATGGAAGGCAGAGACAGGATTCCTCTAAGGGAATGGGCCAGCTAGCCTGAAGTATGTATGCAACAGTGAAAACCAGAAATTCCATCTCAAGAAAGGGCCAACTCTCAAGGATGTCCTCTGACTGCCACACAAGCCCTCAAGAGAAAGAGATACAGAGAGATAGAGAAAAAGAAAGAGAAAAAGAATGTATATAACACCCATACATCAAATAAATACATAAAGATTAAAAATAAAAACAAAACACTGAGTGCTCAAAATGTTGCCAAGCAAATGGCATTGTCTACCTCTGTTTCCCTGCTAAGCCTCTCCTGTCTACACACAAAGGTAGTGATGTATGGATCTGGGGCCTAGTGGGTACTTTGGTCTGTCTCCAGCAGAGGAGCCTCCACCCATGAGTGCCAAGACCTTCGCTTGGAGGACAAGCTGATGTCCTGTTGTGTTTTCCCACCTGTCCACCTGCCAGGGTACGGTCCACCCCCATTGTTGCTAGACAGGAGGAAGCTGTGTTGCCAAAACAAGACACTTAAGCTAAGTGGCCACTGTTACATCAGCCAGCCTTCCCGCCCAGTGCTGAACCAGTGTTCACTCCCACATAGTCACACCAAGTCACAGGGGACAAGACAGAATGAGACTCGGTGGGGTGTGCCAGGTGCATGCTGATCAGCACCAGTGACAGCACAAAACAGGTGTTCCAGAGAGGGGTGTGGCCCTACAGGACAAAGGCAAGCTGTTGGCAGTGTCTCCAGGTTGGGGCAGTGGGATGTCAGGGGGTCCTGAGAGTACTGGTCCTCCATCTTGGGAACGTGGCCAGCCTCCTGGGAAGGGTATGCGTCTTGGCTCAATCTGGGCCTCACATATAGCCAGCAGCACTGCAGGAAGTCTTCCTTAGAAGGCACTCAGCTCCTCCAAGCATTGAAAAACATGACCCACTTGGCAAATGCACAAGAATAGCACGTACACCCAGTAGGACATACTTGCAATCCCACTGTGCATCCTTCCAGCAACTTCCAGTGGAAGCAGAAAGAGATCTTCGGGACCATTAGTTCAGCCCTTCTCTTCATCAGGTGAGGAGACTGGGGTATGGAGAGAAGAGTCCGTCCCAGTTTAGAGGGGCCAACACTAGACTCCAGATGGAGATGGAGATGAAAAAGCTACATGTCATGACTGTGTCTGCAGCTGTGGTAGACCAGATGTCATTCAAAAGGAGCCTGACTATACAGAAGACATCTGGGAGTCCTTGAGACAGGTGCTCCATTTTACAGGTGAAGACACCAAGGGACAGGAAGCTGAAGTGAATGTGTTCTGTCACTTCTGTCCACCATAACGAGTGGTTCTTTCTTGGGTTATTTTGCAACTTCAGTCTTGCTATGTAGCCCAGGAAGGCCTGGGACTAATTCTTTATCCTTCTGCCTCAACCTCCAGCATAGTGGGGATAGCAGACGGGTACCACCCAATTCATCCAACTCTGCTTTCCATTAGAATACGGAGCAGCAGCATTGCCTTCTCCACCCCTTCCTATGAGCCTCCTGAAGGTCAGCACATGCTGCAGGAGCACCAGCAACTGAAGCCCACTGGAACTCACTATGCAGACCAGACTGGCCTGAACTCACAAAGACCCACCTGTTTCTGCCTCCCTATTGCTGGGATTAAAGACATGCACCACCACACCTAGCTGCTCCATCTGCTCTTATTTAACTTAAAGAATCCTATGAAACAAGATAGGGGACAACTATAGGCTCCTTGCTCCTAATCCTGGGGAGGTAAGTTCCTCAGCTGGACATCACCTCTAAAACCCAGCTCAGGAGGAGGGGTAAGCTCTCTGCTTGTGCCCAGCTCAAACTCACCACCTTTTAGACAACTCAGGCCCCTTCTTTGAATCTGGGGACTAGCAAATTTCCAAGGAGGGCAATATATGACTGTGGCCGAGGGGTCTCATGCCTCCTACAATACATCGTTCTTCCCTGTGTGGCCCCTTTCTGCTGAGCTTAAAGACATGAGCCAAAAGGACCAGAGGGGAGAAAGACCAAGGGAGGCAGCCGAGGAAAGGAAGAATCTAGAGGGGTCTGGGAAAGGAGGAGAAAAAGACAGAACCCTCAGCAGACACATACCCAGGATCAGAATGGACCACAAGCTGACCGCAGCCTAGAACAGAGGATGGGTTGAACGTCCTCAAACCCAGGGCTTGTTAATCCTCCCCAGAGTCTCAGATCTCACAATATCAATGAAGTGCAAAAGTGTGGACAGGAACAGAAAACAGGAGCCAAAGGAAAGTTAAGGAGAAAGTGGCACATCGAACAAAGCTTCAGGGATACCTGATGTACACACATGACTTGCCTTTCACACAGGACACCCCCACTGCTCTCTATCACCCCTAAAATGCAGCAGAAGAAAGAAGCATGAGTTGTAGCAGAGGATACTATGGTGAGACATAAGTAAGAACTTTCCGTGTGCATTAAGTCCCCTAGTAAGTGACCAAGAGTAGATAAAAACCTCCTTGAAAATCTTAAATGTAGATAGAAAAGTCATATTTTTTTTTCTGGGAAGGTTTAGGAGGTTCTTGGTTCTCAAACTAGCAAAAAAATAACTTAGATTAAATCAGATTCTCAACCAGCCAAGTTGACCATGTAACAGCAGCGATGTCCTTGCCAGGCACAGACCAAGTCAAGCGATGTCCAAGACCCAGGCCTCAGCCACACAGTCCTGGGTGCCTAGTGACCAGACCCTTTTTTTATGGTTTTCTCCTCCTAGGGTTCCTTCTAAGGATGAAGATAAAAGGAGGTTGAGATCTCCGGGTCCCAGGCAGAGTCCAGTTAGAAGAGGCATTCTATTGTCCCTAAACCCAGGGCAGGCCTTGGCAGTGCCCCGCCTGTCTCCAGCCTGTCCCTGTTCAAGTCTGGAAGAGCCTGGGAGATGTTGGCGTACTCACCCGGTGGCTGCCTCTGTCCATGGTCTAAGAGGATGCCTCTTCCAAGCTCAGCTGATGTCAAGGGGAAGATCCATGTTGACCCCCAGGTCCTCCAGCATGTGGGGAAAAGGAGACTGAGGGCTGAGGGCCGGCCCCCAGCAGATGGGGCGGGGAAACTGGTCGGATGTGTGAGGTAATCTCAGGTATAAACAGCCTGGAACTTGCCAGACCTGTCCTTCAGCCCCATCCCAGGCCATCCCTGTTACTCAGCTAATACCTGGGCTCTTGAAACTTCCACCACGGGAGTTTATGTGGAGCCTCTGTGTGTGGGGTCCCCTTCACTGTCCCTCCCAGAAGGCATCAGATAGATTCTGGGATTGTAGGAAGCTCTCTGAAGCACTCAAAATATGTGCACCCGAGCACACCAGGGACAGCCCTGTCCCCATAGTGTGTTCATTCCCAAGTGTTCTTATGTCCAAATCCCAAATCTGGGCACCTGAGATGGACTTCTAGGTTTTTCTGAATCCTGTTTATTTTTATGAAAACACTTAACAAAAAAAATGAAATCGCGTGGTTTTGAATTACACACATAACAAATTACATCCATTGACAGCAATAAACTATTATGAACTATACTGAAGTCAGTTAGTATAAAACATGTAGGTATGTGAATGGAAACCGGTCCAGGGAATATTGAGGTGACTCACAGCCTCCTACCCTGCACTCCGTTCTGATCATCAGAGGCAAAAGAAACAGGAAGAGACGTGTGTCCTTAACCTAGAGTAGCTGTGCTAAGAATTGTGGGGGAAGAGGCGTCAGGTGGACTTTGGGAAGGATGCTCTAAGTTCCGAGCATTTAGAGAGCTCAGCACTGTTCTGACAATTTCTTCCACCTCACGCCACAGATGAAAGCCTGGTGACCAGAATGACTAGGGCATCGGCAGAACTCGCAGGGAGCGAACAGCCACAGGCAGATGCAGCGCAACCGGGAGATGCCAGCACCCATGATAAGCTTCCCTATCCATCACCATTCACTCGTGACATGCCTGGCCCGGCTCCAACAAGTGCCTGGTCGCGGAATGATCAAAACTAAACCAAAATCCTTTCCTACGTTTTGGGGATTTTTGTGTCAGCAAATTACCTCAGAGATACCAGAGCAGGAATTGAATCTGATAGAGAAACTGATTTCCGAAATCTAACAATACCTGGCAAGGGTTGAGAAATATTAGATTGACCAATTTGCCTCAACTTGGTCCCTCGAGAATAAAAATTAAAATTGTGGCCACTCTAGTCTGCTCCAGTTTCTAACCACGAAATTTGCCGCAGTCCCACTTAATTCCGCTAGGCATGCTCCTTCTGCGGCAAAGTCCCAGTCTTCCCTGAGTTCTGAGGAGCACCATGGATTCCCCAATTGGGTCTGTGTTCCCCCATGCAATGACTCTGCACCTGAATACGACTCTTACGTTTTTATTTTTGCCTCTTTTATGAATTCTTGGTTTACACGAAGACCTGGGAGTCCACAAGGGCTAGACCCCTGGACCTGTAATACCAGCAATGACGTGGGGGCCGGGGGGGGGGGCGTTGACGAAATTCAGCAAATCAATGGAGCCATGGGTCATCAGGCAGGGAAGTCAGAGGAAAGCAAGGCGGGAAAGGATGGAGGAGACTGGAGTTGCCCTGACAGTTAGGACCAGAGATCAGGGATGGCAGCTAGGGTGAAGTCTGAGGCTGGCTCTTGCCCTCATTTACATGAGTGGATGTGGAAACTGCTCCAGTTTAGGATGGTCAGGGAACTTAAGACACAGAGATTCATGGGAAAAATCGTGGAAGGTCCAGGAAGAGAGCCAAGGAGCCTCTGATTTGTGTGAGCTGCTTTGCTGGCTGCACTCCAAGAGAGCAGAACTTAGCCCTGGTCCACTCTCTGGTCATCCAGGTCTGGGCACAGGCTGATGTTGTGTCCTGGATCCTCCTTCTCCCCTCGCCTAAGGAGACCCCTTCTGGGCACCACTGAACCACAAGGCTGTGTATGCTTCAGCCTCTTGGCATCCAGAGGCCCGGCCTGGAGGTCTCCACTGAGTCTGTCAGGCAGGTCCTTGCCTTTTTCGATCCGGGTCTTCCCAGCCTCTGGAAAGCGCTCAGACAATGGCGGTTCTGAGCGACTCAGGGGCAGCAACTGAAGGCAAAGGCAGTTTGGAAGTCTGCGTGCGGGTGTGCCGTCTGGAAATCAGTGATGATGACGCATAGGACCCAAGATCACAGCTTTGTAGCAGAGTCAGCTTTTTCTTGGTTTCCTGCCCCAAAGTCTTTGCTAACCAAGCGACGTGGCCCATACAGAGTCCTCATCAGAGTGGATTTAGGAAGCACAGAATCCTGATCCTCCGGCTCCTGGGGTCCGGCTGGGACAGGTACGGGAGGAGCAGGCCGCTGCCGGGGAGAACACGGTGCCTCTCTGGGTTCGGCACACCCAGGCAGTAAGACTTCACTGGGAGTTTTCTCTTTTTAGAGGAAAACTGGGCTGCCTGGATAAAACTCAGGCCCTTCCTTCAGCAGAGCCGGCCTTGAAGCTGCAGACGAGGCTTTGACTTCCACCCATGACCCTGGTCGGGATCTCTTTCCTAGAGCCCTTCTTCCAGGCTCTGCACCCTCCTACCTGGCTGTCCAATCCTGTCTATCTCTGCCTGGCCTTTTCCTCTCCCGCCTTAAGCTCCCTAACTGCTTTCGGGGGAATGCTGGGCAGGCCTGACCTCTCTCTACTGGGGGCTCACACAGCACTTTCATTCCCTGGTATGGGAGGCGGATCCTAGACAATGGTGGGGGCTATGATGGGGACCTGAGCCATACCCAGCCCATCTTAAACATTTCCTACCTCTGGCTCATTTCCTTTGGGGTTAGAGGGAAGTTTTACATAAAAACCATGACAGCCAGGCAAAGAACTCAAGGCTTCTGGCATGGGGAATGGAGGAAAACTCAGGGCTGTTTGGAAACTGTGCTCCCAACTCTGGGAGTTTCAGGGTTCCATCTGGTGCTGTGGGAGGGGACACGGCACTCTTTGTCACTCTCTGCTCTTAACCTTTACTCCCTCCTGGTCCCACTTTGGGCAAAGCTCTTCTTGATGAGCCTCACTCTGGAGTCTACTCCTCAGAACCTTCTTTGGGACCTCTGAGTACCCTTTCCTCTTTGCACCCCACTTTTGTTCTCCACAACACAATGGGATTACTTCCAGGCCTGAGCCAAGCAGGACAGAGAGGAGACACCAAGCCCACCCTAAGGGAGTGGGTCACTGGGAGTTACCCCTGAGGCCCAGGGCATCTCCCACCCATTTGCTCTATGACCAGCCCCAGTAGAGGGCAAGTGTCTTCTAACCCACTAACTCCGGCAGCTATGAGGCCAACCCTTTCACCCCAGCCCCAGGACTGAAGCAGCTTGATGATATAGCTGCTGCCTGCATTTAGAAACTAAAGACTGGTTCTTTCTTCTTTTTCTGCCCTCAGGGCTGGATGAGCGTAACCAAGAGAGATAATCACCCAGGCTGTACAATATAAAAGGGTTCCCAGTAACCAAGATTTATCATAGTTTAGTGTTTAAAAAACCATCAACATTAACACAAGAAGTCTATCTCTGAACAGAATGTCAAAAATTTAGGTGAAAACAGGATCAGAATTCTGCCCAGATTTCACCTTCTATTTTTCTCCCTTACAGGTTCTCAGGGCCTCGGTTTCCCCGGTAACTGATCCTTCTATCTTTGCAAGCTGCCAGCCTATAGGTCTTCAATGAAAGAGAAGCATCTAAGGCAACCAATACCCAGGGACCTGAATCCTAGGAAGGAAGTGCCCTCTCTGTACAGAGCAGAGCCCAGCTCTAGGGAGCTGCTAGCCTTACTGTGAATGCCCACTGAATCTTCCTGAAAGTGTTGTTTACCTTGTGTCTCCATGAGCCTACCTACCTCAGAATCAGCACCTAGTGTCCGTCTGACCATTGCCAGGGGCAGCTATTGCTGCTAATATGTTCTAAGACTTTCTTTTTCTTGTTTTATACAAGGTCTCATGTAGCCCAGACTGACTTTGAACTAGTTATGGAGCCAAGAATGACCTTGAACTTCTGATTCTCCTGCCTCTACCTCCTAGGTGAGGAATTACACTCCCAGTTTTGTGTGGTTCTAGGGACTGAAGCCAGGGCTGCATGCCCAGTAGGCAAACACCCTATCAACTGAGCTTTATCTCCAGGGCCAAGGTTGGTTTCGTAATTTACGATGCATCAAGAAGACGCATAAGCCAGGTGTCGTGGGACACATAACTGTAATTCCAGGATGAAGGAGGTAGAAGCAGGAAGATTTGGGGTTGGAGAAGAGACAACTCAACAAAGTGAGAACATAGTGTCCCAGGCTAGCCTAGGATACGGACTAAGAAAGACACTATCTCAAAAATAAACCAGCAACTACAAAACCAGAGGAAGTATATAGTCAACTTCTAACCGAAAGAAAAGATAGACGCCCATGACAACCAAGATCTAGAATATTCCCATCACCTCAAAAATTTCTTCTCCACAGTTTCAGGCAATCATCAATCTATCTCCTGCCTCGGGGTTAACTCTCCCTTTCCTAGACTCTCCCATAAATCTGCCCTAAGACAGATGGTGGGAGCACAAGCTGGCAGGACCACAGTGTGGCCCTCAGCAGGTGCTCTAGGGGAACCTCATGGGGGTTACTGTACAAGGTGGTCAGGAAGTGTGGGGACTCCTAAGTGACAACCCACAAACATCAGCGTAGTCCCAGTCCCCAGCTGCTTTCTTAACACTTCAGAGGTTCACAGGGGCTCTATGGTGGACTACCCTTGTGGTTTCCATTTTCAGTAGAAACTGGGCCTCTTGCTGGAGAGCAGGACTGACGAGGGAGTAAGGAAAGACACACACACAAGAAGAAACCAGAAAATAAATGTGACCAAAGGACCACCCAGTGACCCCCTTTCCCAGCACATCTGTGGCTCAGAGAGCCTGGAGCCCTCATCCCAGGGGGCAAGAGCTGCTCTTGACCTTCCAGGTCTTAGC